AGGATCTTTGCTGTCATTTAGTCCCAGGTAAAAGGGTCAGTAAGATTGCCATACAAACTGCAAAGCTGTGGCTGATAAAAAAAATTTTTAATGAAAAAAAAAACAACCAATGCAGTACTTCACATGCACTGCCTTCCAAGCATCTGACACACTTGAAGAAGAACCATGGCTCTGGAGTTGGAGAGCTGGGTTTGCAGGACAGCCCTGGAGCTAAGTGATTGTGGGCAGTTCGAATTCTTCATTTGCTCACTGGTTGCTAACTGGACCCACTGCAAAGACCTGCTGTAGGTGTGTACAAATACCTTGACACAATGAGGCAGGATGCTAATGTTACATAGTAATAACATCCCATTATCCTAACCTTGCTGGTTATGGTCAAGAAGCCCATGTCAAGCTGGTTTAAATAATAAGATCAAACACTGGGTTTAAAAAAGATTCCTCAAGAGAGAGTAATGGGACACCCTCCTGCTCCTTCACAGCTGCCTCCTTCCACCCAAGATCTCCACATCGCTTGCTGCTGGGAAGAGATAACTGGTTTCATATCCTCCTAGCAAGGGAAGACTACGTAATGGGTACAAACTCTGTAAAGCAGAAAACCCAGGGACAAGTCCTGAAGAGCTATCACACAGTGTCTTCTAGTTTCAACCTTTCCAACAATGAGACTCACCTGAGGGGAATACCCAGACCCCCCCTCCAACAACACACTGGGATAGAATTCCCAGGACAGAACATGTGGGAGCCCAAGGCTTATTGGCTTATTAAGAATTGGGGTTTGGGGATCTGAATGCCCATCTTCACCCCTTTCCAACTACGTGACCTCAAGAGAACAAGTGACTTCTGCTAAGTGTTGAATGCCTCATCGGCAAACTAGGTATAATAATTTTTATTTTTGCAAAGTCTAGGTCAGGCTTAAATAACATCCCGTGTCTAAATCACATTGTATAATGCCTGGCCTACTGTGAATGCCCAATAAGCTGTGGGCGTTAGTCCTGGTCACTATTTACATTTCTTTGCCAATGGCACTGTGGATGTCCAGGGGCATGACAGCCAGCCATCGTCCACTGATTTCTGGCAATGCCCTAATCAGGGATGTGGTTACCCAGACTGCATGCTGGTAAGGCACCGACTTTTCTGAGGGACAAGTGTCACTTGACAGAGTAACTCATTTCCTCAGTGACAGCAGGATTTCTTCCATCTCAGAACCTGTCTTGGGCAGTGTCACCCAAGGAATCATTTTATGAGAGCTGAGACCTATAGGAGGGTGTGGGGCCCCATCCTGATCAAGAAGGAATTTGGAACATCCACCTCACAGCTGAAGGAGGATGACTTACTTTCAGGGAAGGACTTGGAGTTACTAAGGCACACTGATGAAGCAATCCCCAAATTTTCATATTTTTAAATACATGCTTATGCAATGTTTACAGGCAGGGTTTCCTGTGGTACAGCCTGCTGCCCCCACAGAATGAAGCACCTCATGGAAAAGAACGAGATGACAGAGACCCCAGAAATCTTCGGATGCGGGTGGGTGTGGTGGGTCTGGGAGCCGACAGGAGAGGGCAGGGTCAGGGAGGGCGGAAATTTCACCCCAAGTGCACGTTCTCAACGGCTTTCTTCTTTGACTCTGACATCATAAACAAGTTAAAACAATGAAAGGCCAGGTTTCCCACTGGCAGGAACTGCCAGCATGGGGCCAAGGCACGGGACACCTGCTGGGGAAGTCTCGGTTTCCTCGGGGGAGCAAAGGCCCATGGGTCCTCAGCCTGCCTTGGCCAGGGCAGCTACCCGCTCTGCCCACGGCCACCAGCCCTTACTATTTTTGTTCACCAAGAGAAAATAACTCGTAAGATCCCCAAACTGAAAAGAACTAGTCATTCCTCTCCAGCTTCTATTTAATACAAGAAGCCCCTTAAAGTGAGAAAAAAAAAAAAGTATAAGGCCATATTTTAAGTTGATGAGGGGCAGAGATGGGGGAGAGAGAGAGAGAAATAAAGGGTATCTACAAAGTCTGGAATATAGAGAAAATGTTTCAATTATTCATTATTATTTTTTGAATTAGTGACTAAACCTATGGCTTTCAATTTAGAGATATTTTGCCTGTAAAACTATTTGTAAGAAGAAACCCCTTCTGAGTATATTGTATGAAAATATAACATAAACATAAAATTGCTCTAGGTTTCCAGGCTTTTCAAACAAACATTCTTCCCAAAGGGCTATCCTAAAGTTTCTGTTTAATCTGTATTAATACTAACATGACTTTTCACTTCTGTCTCTCTGATTTCTGCCTACTGATGCTACGCAGTGGGTGCTAGGGATAAGAGGAAACACTACACTAGCACAGAGCAAGGTCAGCCCACATCTGGCGCATGGTCAACCCCTTTTTCCCTGGGGAGGAAAGTCCAATATGAGCCAGTGTGATTTTCTGGTTACTCTTCTATTGGTCCTGAGCCTTCTTTCTAAAATTTCTTCTTTACCCTAAGACTTATTGGCTATTTCCTCAATTTTTTTCTACCAAAAAATACGGTTGGCAGAAATGCTACTGTAGATGACAAGCCTGAATTCTGTGCAGCAGGACCACGTTTGAGCCTAGAAAGAACAGTGACGGAACTGGAGCTGAGGGGACCCCCAGGGCAGGGGGTGCAGCTGCGCGTGATGGGTGAGGATTCAGACTGCTCTGCGTCCTTCCTGTTAGTGAAATTTAAACAGTAATGTCTAAAGCTGACCTAAAGGAAAGGAATGAAATGAAAGTGAATAAAAGGACCACATGATCTTTAACTCCAAAGACTTACAGTGTAGGCATTGTCTGAAATAGATGTAAGAGAGACACTATTCTAAACCTACATGGATTCTCTTAAAATGTGATTGGAGACCCCTCTCTGAGCCTCAGGGAAGTCCTTTTGTTCAGGGGGTGGGAGAACCTGAATTACTTCTTTTCCCTGGTAAGGCAGGTGAAGATGTTTCTCAGTAGACTTCTCTTCCTGCTAGTTTATGAGTCTTGGGAATGTTGCTCACCCACCACCTTACGAAATCTAAGCAGCTTCAACTCCACCGTGAAGTCAGGCGGATGTTTGCGGGGCGTCAGGCGGATGTTTGCGGGGCAGGATAGCAGAGGAGGAGTCACATATACATACACTGCAGCAGTTCTGCAACTGCTCAGCCTCTGTCACTCCGTCATGTTATCAATTATGACACCATTAAGCATCAACTGTATTCCAAGGGCACTGACCTTGGCCAGGAGCAGCCCCACCCTTATCCCCAGCATTGTTTTACCAGACCTTACTATGGCTCTCCCCTAGCCACACCCCTTTCCCATGGGCTGAGGAGTCCATAGGACCAAGGAGGTGTGCCCCCTTTCTAGACTTGCTAGAAAGGGTACCTAGGACCCCTGAATTCCTTGCCCAAACAGCTCTGAGCCCACGTCCAAGGCCTGCATGGATGCTTGTTCACATCTCTCCTCCTAAAAGTGACAGCACAGTGTGCTCTTGGGCCTAGGGATGGCCAAAAGGAGACTACTAGAAAATGGAAGAGAGGAGCTGAGCTTGACAAACACACACACAGGGGTGCCTGTACACATGGGCTCGAGCCTTCTGGCCGAGCAGGTCAGGACTGGGGTCAGGGGAGGGGCCCACTGAGGGCCAGATGCCTCCCTATGGACTCTGGCCCTGCCCTTCCTCCCCAGTGCTAGCGGTGGACCTGTCCACAGGGCCTCCGAGTGGGCCTGCAAGCCCAGAACTCCCAGAAATTCTGAGAGTCAGGGATCTGATCAGGCTGTGCAACCACAAGAGGGGCCAGTAGCATGACCAATAAAGAATCCTCATGGAATTCCTGACTGCCCGGCTGAACCACTCCTTCCTAGAGCAAGGTCCTTCCTGATTCACGGGAGGTGAATCTTCACCAGCTTCCCAATGCTGCCCAGGCCTCCTTAGCTCTTCACTATCCACTCTCACCTGACTAGAAAGTAGACAGAGGAAATCCATTTGCAAAACTTCTGGTGAGAAGGTGCAGAAAATTATAGGCTAAAAGGCAGCGGTGGTATGTGTTGGCCAGGAAGCCCTGAATTCTCTGCTGACTGACCCAGCAGGAACTGGCTATGCTGCAGGGTGGGATATGGGCAGAGCTCCTCCGTGTGAGCAAGGGCTGTTGGTGCAGAACCAAGTGCAATAGGCATGATTCCGCTGACCAGCAGAATCTATACCTGGTTTTGCTGCTGAACACTGAGAGTGGTAACACTACTTGTCCACAGACCATTACAAAACAATGAGATGATTAAAATGATAACTGACTACAAAATAGATCACAATTTACAAAGTCTCTTCCATAATCATTACCTCACTGAATCCTCACAAAGACAGTAACTATAAATACGCTCCATTTACCTGGAAACAACAAAATTTGGAGGGATCAACTCACTTGCTCAAACTGACACAGGGCCACACTCAAAGGTAGCTTAGCAAAAAATACGACTTCTCTTTCCAATACTTGATTTTGCTTTCATCAAACTGATATTTGTGAGCATGCTTTTTGAATAATGTTTCACCATACCCATGACCCTATTTGATTGTCATTCATGATGTTTCTGAAGAAACATGAATTTGAAGGTTCTCTTACAGGTGAGAGACTGGAAGCTGGAAACCTGAAGAACAGGGTCAACCCTTCCACCCACACTGAACAGCAGGGGTTGGGGGCCGGGTAGGAGAGAAGCAGAGCTGAGAGCAGACCACAAATGGGAAACGCCACGTAAGATCATGCGGCTCTTCACCACCTGGTGCCGAATCAAACTTTCACGTATCATCTCCCCTCTGAACAAGAAAAGGCTAGGAATCTACAGTGTTTCACAGAGAAGAAAACAGCGCGCTTGCCTGGCCACATCACCACTCCTCCCCAGAACACAAAAAACAATACCATGTGATAAACTTTGGAGTCACGGACATCATTTTCCAAGATTACAGTTAGGAAAGCACAATAGAGGTAAGATAAAGTAAAGTGTAAATAATGATACTTACCTTGAATATATATGACAGCTTATTGCTGATGATCTCAGGTACTATGTGTATATATATATATATATATACACGTGTGTGTGTATTAAAGTGCAGGGATTCCTTTCACAACATCCCTGCAGAAGCAGAAAAGGGAAAAGTAATTAGTAGACTATATAATTATACCCACAGGTTTCCTTTTAACTATAAAACTTTGTCAGAGCTACAAACCAGGTAGAATTGCTGCCGGTTGAACTGGGCCCAGCAATCACTTTCACTGGACCCGTACAGTGTTTTAAAACAACTTGAGCCAACATTTAAAATCCAGGGGTTTCCACACAAAGGCACAGATCTGCAGGTCCACGTGAAAAATCAGAAAGTGTGGCAGCAGGAGCAGACCTTGGAGATGCTGCAGGTTTGGTTCTGGGTGCCCACCGTACAGTACAGCACCATACCATGCACAGTAATCCTCTGGCTGTGGAGGGTCTGGCCCTCACTTTGTAAAGAACACAGTAACTGTGACGTGCAACAAAGCAGGGAGCGCCTCTGATGACAGGAGCTGCAGGCCACAGCTTACCAGCCTGGCCCATTGCTAATTCAGGTATCTGACTGGCTTTCCAAGGCCTTTCACCTTGGGACTCCTTGTGTCTGTAAGGTTCATCCATGCGAATTGTGTTTTCCAAGTAACTTCAGTAAAGGTGATCAGGGTTAGGGTAGCCTGGTATGATCACAGTTATACTGAAGCACACAGTTTTTCAAAGGGCCAGTTGTAACCCATTAGTGCCCTACCTGGGAAGTACCTCAGAGCGATTCTTGAGCCATGTTCTCCCCCTATCCTGACCAATTAAATCAGGATCTCTGAAGGTGCTGACCTGGCATGAGCACGCTTGTTATTGTTGCTTAACAAACTTATTTACGAAAGTGTAGCATATAAATAGCAAAGTAACAAATCATAAAGGAACACACCTATGTTATAACCAGCAGTCAGGCCCTCCCTGTGGGCCTCCTCCCAGTTACTCCCCCACCTTCCTCCACCTTCCCCAACTATCCGGGCCTCACTTCTAACACCATGGATGAACGGCGTCGGTTCTTGACCTTTCTATAAAGGGAATCATACCAAGGGCATTCCTTTGCATCTAGGTTCTTCCTCTCAGCATGTATGGCTGAGGTGCCTGATACATATAGCAACAGGTGACTCATTTTCATTGGTGCTTAGTATTCCACAGTGTGACTGCATCACAACCTATTTTTCCATTCTGTAGTTGCCAGAAACTTTGAGTTTAGAGCTATAACAAATAATGCTGTTATCTATGAACACTCTTGACCATGTCTCCTGGTGACTACATGTATGTGTTTCTGCAGGGCGCATACCTAGGGGTGAAAATGCTAAGCCACTAGGTATACTATAACTCAGCTTTAATAGATATTGTTGGACTGTTTTTGCAAGCTGCTTCCCCAGTTTATACTACTACACCAGTATATAAGAGTTCCAACTGCTTCACATCCTCATCAACATTTCTATTGCCTGTCTTTCACATGTGAGCCTCTGTGGTAGGTGTGTAGTGGTACCTCACTGTGGTTGAACTTGTATTCCCCTGATGGCTAATCAAGTTGAGCAGGTTTCACATTTCTTGGCCTTTTGGATATGCTCTTTTGTGAAGTGCCCTTTCAAATATCTTGCTTATGTTTCTACTGTGTTAGAGTCGTTTATTTGTTCCAGATATGACTCCTTGTTGATTGCTTGTACGGCGAATGTCTCCCCGCCTTGGCAACTTGTCTTGTACTCATTTATTGGTATGCTTTGATGGAAAGAAGTTCCTAGATTTAATGTAGTTCAGTTTATAGATATTTTTATTATATGAATACATTTTATGTCTTGTTTGAGAAATCACTGCCCACCCTGACGTTATCAATATATTCTATTTTATCATGCAGAACGATGCTGTGCAATAGAAATGTAGCAGAAGCCAAATATATCATTTTTAATTTTCTATTAGCCTCATTCTAAAAAGTAAAAAGAAACTGACAATTTTTAAATAACGTATAAGTGTTTTAAATCTGCTGTGTGTTTTAAACCTAGAGCATGTCTCTACTGGACCAGCCATGTTTCAGGGACTCAACAGCCATGTGTAGCACATGGCCACCACGTGGGACAGCACAGATCTAGAAGTTATACCAATCACATCGACATTAACATTTAGATCCATATAAACACTGAGGTTAGAATCAAAGTTCAACTTTGTTTCCATGCAGACATTCGAATCCTTTCCTTATAGTACCAATGTAGTCATAACTCAAGGGTCCAAATATGTGGAGGTCTATTTCTGGAATCTTTAGTTCATTTGGTTGGTCTATTGTGTCTTTGGCTTTATTAATTTTTTAAAGCTCCCTGTTGATTCTTATTTTCAGCCCATATGGAGAAACACTATTAGTGGGTCACAAAATTAATTTATTGGCCACAACCAGAAATATTCTAGAATGGAATGGAACAGAAGAGAAAACATCAATAGGAATCAAGTGTTGTTTTGTGAACCCTTTTTTTTGGTTTGTGTGTGTGTATGTATGTGCGTGTTCTAACTTGGTGTCTAAAAAGTATTTTTTACAATAGTGATCATCAAAAAAAGTATGAAAACCACTGTAATAGTGTAATCAGTAAAACAATTACTTAGGAAAATTCAACTTGCATATTATTTTACAGTCATCATCTAGAAATGCTCTGAAGTCTTACTCTTCCACAGTTGGAAGTGGACCAGAGTTCCCATGAAGCAGATCTGTGCTGGCAACAAGACTGGGGAGGCAGCTTCAGCTAATGGAGCAGAAGGAGCTCATTAGGAGGCTCTGAAGCTTGGACCCACAGTGGAATATGACGATGAGCCCATGATGTAAACATTACAAATGAAAATCGTTAATCTGCACAATTTGGGATTTGTTCAGCATCAGCATATTCTGAGTTTTTAAAATTCTACTCAGATGTTAAACAAGAAAACATAATTTGAGGGGAAGAAACTGAAGCCAATTTAGTTATTAAATGATATCAAGTAATCCTCATTATTGAAGAATATGCTCTCAGAATTTTGCTTGAATCTTGACATGATTACTTTCTTGTTCAACCTCAGTCAGAACCAATTTAATCAACAAGTATTTACCGAGTATCCACTAAAATACATATGTCTGGCACAGGGATCAAAATTTAAAAAACAGGCCTGTTCTTGCATATGAGTATCTACAGAGAATAAATAGATTAAGGCATATGACTTTTCCTCACTAAGTACTTCAATTTAGAACATGGAGATAGTAAATTAAAATGATTTTAAGCCCCTTAATGCAACATTTTATCTCTTCAAAAAATCTAAACATATGCTCTAGCTGAGAATTTTATACTTCTCCCTTTAATGAGAAATGTATTTTGGCGATCATTTCACAAAATATACAAACATCTAATCATTATGTAACATCTGAAACTGATATAAGGTCGTAAGTTAATTATATCTCAATTAAAAGAAAAAGCCCGAGACCGACTTCCATTCCTTTTTTCCAGTTCTGGTGACCACATGCCACATGTTTCAGAAGGCACAGCTGCGAGAGGGAGGCAGCACAACCTGTGACAGGAGAAGAAATAAACCTTTGTGCACACACACAAAGGAGGCACCTTTTGGTTTTATTTCATATTGTGCATGTGTGTGTATGTGTGTGCGTATCGGTGGTCTGGGTATGTCTGCCAATCCTAAGCAGATGTATTTGGAAATTTCGGTGAAATATCTCAGTTTTCTGGTATCTCCTGAAGGTGTAATTCAGGAAACAAAAACGACATGTTCCATTCGGTTGGAACTTCTGTAAACTAAACATCAGTTATGGGTTAGGCCTCTGGTCTGTTTGGGAGCACAACCCTCCTGCACAGATTCTCCAGTCACCAGTGTGGGTGAAAAATAAAGAAGAAGTGGTCATTAGAGTGGACCAAAACCTTCTACCTTTGTATTTGAGGGGCATGGAGATACTTAGATAACAATGCAATCTAAAGGTAATTTAACTGTTTTAAGAACACAGTGATTGCTGAAGTCCATTTACAGTCACACATCTGCCCACTATAGACAGAAAGCCCATGGAGAATTTCGGCTGTTACAATGTTGTAAAACATCAGAAATTCTTAATTTCTCTGTTTACCTGCCATTTGAGGCTTTATACCTAAGCCCTAATGTATTTTAATTGGAGTTTTAGCTTAGTTTCAGCTTTCATAATTTAAAATCCCTGCTGTAAGACACAATCCTAAGGCAATGCGTCTCGTGCAGTGTGACACATAAAATGATGACACCGATAGTTGACCAGGGCTTAGGGGAATCAGGCCTGCTACTTTAGAAGGCTTCCTCAGTGCCAATGTTTAGTCCGTCTGGGGCTGATACAAAGATGTCTTCAGTGATTCTGGGCCCACCAGGTAAGTGAAACGACAAATTTGGGCTGTGTTAAGACCAACAAGGTTAGTGTCTGTGTGTCCAGGAAAAGAAAGACACCACTGCACTGGATTCCAGCAGGAGCGTCCCCGTGTCCCTGTGCCGTCTCCCTGGGATGCCTATCACTCCATCGGGATTCGCAGTTAGGGACAGACTGTCAGAGCACTATTCTTGATGCTGACTGGCCTACTTGATAAAAGCGACTCCAGGCTCTTAGCCAGTAAATATGTCAATCACACATGTCTCAAAACCATCTTAATGAAGGTGTCTTATCTCCAGTTCAACCTTTGTACTGTATCCCTAAAGTACACTGGGAAGGCCTTGTAAGACCCAAGGATGCTGTGTAGACAGCCCGCCTGGAGATAAACAGTAGTCACCACACCATACCCTCTGTTCCATGAGAATTTGCAGCCAGACCCTCCTCTCACTCACACCTTGCCGGCAATGCTTCTGCTATGACTTTGAGGGCCCGGGAAAACTCAGACAAACTGGGTGCATGTGAGTGTCTGTGTAGTGACCTATAGCAGCAACAATTAGCAAAAGAAACTGGCTTTTGAACAAGAAGCAGCTAATGTTCTTGCTTTTTTTTTTGCCTGATTTTAGTATGCTCTGGGGGACTCTTAATATAGGATGTTCACTACCCTGATTCAGAGGCTGTGTCAAAGCCAATCGGCTTCACCATAAAGGGTCTTGATACATGATTTTCAAAGAAAGTCATGCTAAGATGGAGTAAAGCACCAACAAATAATTAGAGCAGTGATATTTATTGAAAGACTACCATCTGTCAGTCACGTGAGAGGCAGTTTGCATATCTTATCTTTCTACTCCTTATAACAACCCTGCGGGGTAGACATCATAATAATGACCTTATTAACAAGGAAAGTGAGGTTTGAAGAATTTCACTGACTAGCACAGACTTAGTAAGCAGGAAGTAGGGAGTCAAACCTAGATCTTTCTGCCTTTCCAGTCCCTGTTCTGCTCACCACACCACGCCCTCACCCCAATAGCAGAAGCAGATTATAGACTGACTTTTGGTCTTTTGCTGTAAGAAACCAAGTCAGCATACTGACACAGGTTCAGAACTCCTCCACAGGACAAGGGCTCTAGGCCAATGCACTAGGATAGGAATGCAGAAGGCTCCAACCTCATACATGTCTGGGTGCAAAAAGGCAACAGAGTTCTGACTTTCTCCCTTCCTCGCTGTGCCGAAGTAAATCGCTCAGCCCGTATTTCCTCATTTGAAAACTGCATAATTTGAGTTCTAGCTCACTGAGTGAAATAGGAAATGCATATATACATCACAGGGACTCAGTAAATAAATACAGATCATCACTAACCCAGAGTTACCTTCAAACTTATATAAATTAATTTGATTGCTTTTAGGAAAGGCAGAAATATTTTGAATGGGAAAATTCTACAAATATTATCTGCAAGAACTTATATGTCTTTTCTCCTTAAGGAATTTTTCCCTTTGGCCAGAAATTCTACTGGTGAAATCATAACTGGAAACCCCCATTTATTTTTAAAAAAAAAAAAAAAGCTTATAGGGGAAGAGGAGTGAAAAGGTGCTATTTTAAGTCTGAGCCCTCACTCATGGTAGAGAAGGCACTTGAAGATTATGGATTAATGAATAAATTACTATTCACCACCTGGTGAGTCCCAAATGTTTCTTTTCCTTGCTTTGTATAAGGCTTTTGAGGAAATAAAACTGCTCAAAAGAACATGCTTGCTAAACATGTGCTTGGGTTAGAAAAAGGATAATTTTGTTTTGTTTCTCCCCATGAGGCTGGCAGTCTCAGAGATAATCAGCTGATATCTTCTGGAGATGATGCTGAGACTCTACCCTCGAGAAGGGGCAGCCCAGAGATGAGCACCACCACGGGCAGCCAGCGCTACCCTGTTCCCGAAAGAGCCATCCTGAGAGGGTCTCACCACCCCACCTGCAGCCACGCTTTTGGTTTCAGCGCCAGTGAAGGCTTTCCTGACCAACCAAGCTGTGCTGGCTGAGCCTCGGCCTTGTGGGATTTCACTCTCAGAACAATTCTCCCTGTCCCTTCAACAAATCAGTTCAAACTCTCCAAACAGCCAGGAACACCGGTCCAAAGTAGAAGTTTGGACTCACACTTATTCACCACGGCTCAAGACGTCTGAAGGAAGACTTGCCAGGCAAAGGGATTCAAATTCCTGTATCTTTCTCAGTATATCAGGCCAAAATGAGCATTTTTAGCCCCCCTCCTTCTCTCCCTCCCTCTCTCTCTCTCTCTCACACACAAATACACACACACACAGAGGGTTAAGGCCAACTTGGTTCTGAAAGTTCTCAAACAGTAGCCTCAACAAAAGGGCACCTACCTTCCCAAAACTTCAGTCCACAGAGGCGCCCCCAGCTCGAGCAGTCGGAGCCACCCTCCCAGCGTCCCAGCCAGGTTCCGTCTCCTCAGAGAGCAACTCTCTTCATCTCTGAGCGAGCTCTGAAATTCTTTCAGAGACCCACCCTCTAAAGTTGCAAGTCAAGATTTCTGACTGAGGGCAATCAGTGACGTGAGGCTCAGCTACTGGATGGCACCTTCAGGTTCTTCCTGATGGGATGTCCTTTCCTGTTTCACCACTTGGAGAGGAGAAAACAGGAATCAGTCAGGCACTGGGTTACAGTGAATTGTCTCATCATCGTTGCATTTCAGGACACACAGGTATTAGTTAACTGCTAGACAGGATGGTCTTACTGTGTGTGTTGAAAGGAAGGAATTCCTGCTGCGGAGAGAAACCTGGCACACTGTGGACAACGCACTGTTGGCCGAGCTCGTCTGACAGCCATGGTACTCTCTAGAAGCCTGCGAGCACTGGCAGGGCTTTGTGCTAACGAAATCACCACCACTGCTACCACGCCATGAAGCTCACCAACTGTGGAGCATCGGTCCACAGCAACGCGCCTGTTCCCTAGAAATTGAAGTTTTTTTGAACCACATAAAAACCAGAAAATAAGAGAGTCAGGCCATCTTTCCTTTTTAGAACAGTCAGATGTAGTTCTCTTTGCTTTTATTTGTGCCAGTCTCAAAGGGTCGTCATCACAGACAATGAAAGACAAACCCCTAAGCACAGGATAGAAATGTGTCCGTCTGCTTGAAGCCTTTTAGTTTCAAAGACAAGTGTGTCTGCATTTTTCAATCTTTGTTTGAGATGGTGCGCCTTTTGGGGCTGTTTTCACTTTCTCTTGCCTGAAGAAGGTGCTTTGACAAGTAAGAGCCACAACAAGTTGGTTCCTGTGCCGCTGGTAAGCCAAACCTCGCCTCCCTGGAGATTGGGGAGCACCGCCCACTGTGAAAGCCTCTTCTCATTGGCTGACTTAACTGCTGAAAGACACCTTTCTTCTGCTGCTGGCTAATATATGACAGCAAATTAAAAGCTGTCTAGGGGCTGAGAAGGGAAAACACCAGTTTCAAGTTCTTTAAAATTCCCATTTCTCAAATTTCACTAATGAGTTCAGTTCAAAGGAAGAGGACTGGTAAAGGACTCTTCACTCAACACTTGCTCACTCAAGCCTTCCTAGTCTGGTTTTTTTTCCTCTGCCCAGACTTTTTTGTTCTCATAAGCAGTTGTAAATTGTAAAACTCATTTGGCAGCAGGGCTGTACTCGCAGTCACTGAATGCGGCAGGTGGTGATTCGGACCCTCCTCGTGTCTTACAGGAGCCTCTGCAGCACTGCCTGGTCTCCCTGACCCCAGAGCGCCATGTCTAGTCCATCCTCCTCCAACTGCCACTGGACTCATCTCCCTAATGAAGCATTTTTTTCTTTATCACGTCTCTCTCCCCTGCTGATGAAGCTCCACCGGCCTCCTTTTCCCTCTATGGCTCCTTAGCATGGGAGACAGCCTGGTTACAACCAAGCTCCTAGCATCTCCCTTTGCCCTTCCCACTACTTTCCAGGGAAAATGGACGGACAGCTCCTGGGCCCTTCCATGGGCTGCTCTGGCAAACGAAAGCCTGACTCCCCTGCCAGGTCTCCAGCTCCAGCCCTCCCAGTTCTGTGCATACACCTACATTACAGCACTTACTCCATCATTATCACTCCACTGGTTTTGCATCTGCTTCCCTACCACACTGGGAACCCTTCTGGGACACGCCTTAGACATCTCCCTCTTCCTGGAACTTCACACAGCACCCAGCTGTTCAGTACCCGTCAAACATTTCACACCACCATCGTGAGCGACCAGCACTCACTTTCACTCCGGGAACATCTGGAGAAGACCCCTCAACTCCATTTTTACTTCCCTGCCTCAGAATTAAACAAGCCGAGAGAGTACTATAGAACCACGTTTTTTGTTTTAGTCACTTGTACAATTAAATATTGATACATGCCATCTACTAAAGAAACAGAATGGTCCGGTCAAGCAGGAAGTATTTGTACATAACTTAACACATCCCCTATCATCAAAAGCAGATTGTTATCTGCTCTGCTTCTGACTCACTGTCAAGGTGTAGTTCCTCCTCATTCTTCAGGGACATATGTAAAAAGGAACCTGTTGCACACCCTATGGAAAATGGGGCCACAGCTAAAGAAGTGGAAGTGAGGACTTCTGAAACTCTGCTGGCTGTGGCTGTGGGGAGCGGTGTGTCTATGCGAAAGCCTGGGGCATCTGTACACAGATCCTCTGAGGAAGGTAAATAAACACAAATGTGGTTCTGTTGACAACTCCTTTGAGAAAGAGAAAAGGTAATGCCTCTCTTTTTCTCTTTCTCACTTAGGCCTCTGGATAAATGTATTAGTTCACAGCTGACAGAAAGAGAAAACCCCAGGAAGCACAACAGACAGAGCAAGTTGTATGAGTCAGGGCCATTTCTTCCAGGTAATCCTTAACTTTCATGTTCTGAGAAAACGTTAGGAGTAAGTTAAAACATTAAATTAGTTTTACATTTTGAATTCTCATTCATAGACATTGAGTCATTTATTAAAATCTTAACAATTCACTGCATTTACAAAAGTAAACATCACATCTCTGGCAACTAAATGCAGGCATTTCAGCCTGATGTTAGAGGAGAGGTTTTGTGGGGAGCAGCTGAGATGGTATTTTACACACCAAGCAAGGTTGGTACTAAATGTTCTCAGGTGAGTGTTTAAAGCCTCTACTGAGTATATTTCCTGTAGTACAGTAAGGGAGTAGACCTAATCAGGATCCTGGAGGGCTACCAAGGCACACAGAATAGATTACAGTAAGCAGGACATGGGAACACAGGCTCTGACCCACAGGCAGAAGAGAACTAGATATCATTCCCACAGCTCTGCAGGTCAGGAGCAAAGGGCACACAGCTGCATGGAGTGCAGACATGGATGGAAGCAGGGCAACTTCTGTCATTCTCAGGTATACAGTTCGTTTCAAATGATCTTTAACCTAGTTTTCTAGAAAAGGAAACGTAAGTTTCATAGCCTTGACTTGCTTTTCCATCAAAGGAGAGAATCCCTTCCAAGAAACATAATGAATACAGTTTGGACCATATCGATTTAACCTTACCAGCCCACTTTCTGAGCTTTTAGTTAACAACAAACTTGTTTTCTTGTAATATTTCATTTTATTGTTTTTACAGACTTTTCAAATGCAAAGCTTTGCTCACAGATAGAAATATTAGTCAAAATGCTACCAAACTCCATATTGTGAAAAAACTCCTATGGTCTATAATAAAACAAGCAATCATTTTCACAGATGCCTGGACCAACACCTGCACTGCCTGAATTTGATGACCGCCTCTTACTAACATAAAATAGACTCCTCGATGATTTGCCTGAGTCCCCACAATGGATTACAGATTACATGCATTCACCGGGGCCCGCACTTTCCCTGCCAGACTCCTTTGTGAGAAAGGAAGCAAACTCTGGAGGGAGGTCATCAGGACTAGTGGTGTTCGTACACTCCTTTCTACCCACATGTCCGAACTCCATCCCATCCTGCTTTGTTCTCCACATCACTCGTCACGTCTTGCACAGTGACCCCTTACTTATTCCCTTGTTTACTGTCTGTCTCCCCCATGAGAATGTCAGCTCTGTGAGGCTGGGACTTCTGTCTGCCTTGTTCATGCTGAGTCCTCAGGAGCCAGCAGTTTTTGGCAGAGTCAACACTCAGTGCCGCAAGAATATGTTCAGTTATTTGGTTATTTACAACGTGTCTCTTCCTCTCTCACCAAGAGGTACTTTTTCAAAGGTAATTTGTTGGGCTTTTTCAAAAGTTTAAGTCTATACTGTGAGTTATAAAGATTGCCAGATCTACTTTGAGTTTGCTGGGAGAGGGGGAGACTTTTCCGTTGAAGACTTAAGTCTGTTACATACTGAGCCCCTGAAGCAAAGGATTCTGAGAACCCATATGGCCTGCGCCCTGGGAAAGGTGTGGAGCTGTTTGCCAATCAGATCACACATCCATCATGTGAACTGGCTCTCAACAGCCTCTTGGTTCACAGCCCCCACAGGGGGTGGGCCAGAGGCTCTGTGCACAGAGCCTCAACCACAGGTGTGGCTGTCAGCAATGGGCAGGCCACATCCCATGCCCAGTCCCACTTTGTTCTCATCACGTGACCTTATTCTCATTGGGTGTGTGACTCCAGACAAAGTCACTTAACCTAACTCAGTTCTTTGGGTTTCTCAAATGCAAAGGGAAGAAAATAATAGCTATACCTTTTAAAGTTGTGGAAACATTAAGCTAACAGATATTAAAGCATTTAGGAGAGTACTTGCCATATAGTAAGCACTATGTCAATGTTAGTTATGATTATAATCATACTTATTAATTTATTTCACCCATAGGCTTTATTCCTATGTTACTTCGGAATAGGCTTTACTTCATGGGTATAAACTTACTTTCTCCCATTAAATCTCAAGTACAAAGACTACTTAAAGTCTCCAAAAATAGCACCCATTACCATTCCCTAAACATAGTATTTATTTATTAACTCGTTCAACAGTAGTTACTGGATTCATACTATGTGCCAGGCACATGATATCTTTTAAAGGGTCTCAAGAATGAAAACACAGATGAACAAATGCACTCACCTGCTGCACAGGGTGCAGAGGGAAATCTACCCCTGTGAATGCCACGTGGGTGCACTGATATTCTCTATACTGCAGCATTGGGACCCTAGAGGAGAAGGAGCCTCAAACATTTACTACTTCATATCCCACATTCATGCAAGCATAAGCCATGGATTTTACCCAAGGGGCTAGGACTACATAAATATAGTATCAGGAAACAGACAGAAATGGGCTGATAAAGTTTTCACCCCCCCTTCCCCCCGAAACTGTGAAGGCAGAACCTGGTAACTTCAACACTGGTGCTCTCTTTATCCAACACTGTGCTGACACTTAAGTAAATGAAACATTCCATGTGCTTTGAATGGATTTATACAAGCTCAGAACTTATGTAGGTAGGAAGAAGTAGGAAGCAACA